AAAACAAAAATCGACACCAAGGTGTCGAAAAACTATGCTACAAATCGACACTTAAGCGTCGAATTTCATAGGTAAAAATCGACATTGACATGTCGAATTTATAGCACAAATTCAAATGTCGAATTTTAGACCTCAAAATCGACATCTTAATGTCGAATTTATACCTCAAAATCGACATCTAAATGTCGATTTTTACCTGTAAAATTCGACCTGTACATGTCGAATTCGTTTGCGCGGGATTTTTTTTGGAAAATCGATATTCTAGCTAAAAAAACCCATAAATGCATACATTCTTGGGTTCTTCCATCGTAGAATCTTCTATTTTGATGTCTTCTGACTCCATACTTGCCATCTTTGTAAGATTTGTTGAGTTTTGATGATTTTGAATTTCTAGGTTTTGTGGGTTAATGGAGGAGGAAGGAGAAAGGTCTTGTGGGTTTTGGAAGATGGAGAAGATGAGAGTTGGTCTTGTGGTTTTGTGGTCTTGTGATAGGGTTTTTTGTGTTTTTGAATTTTTGGTCTTGCATATTTGGAATTTTTTATTTTTTTTAATAAATAAGGGTATTATAGTATTTATACATTGAAAATTTTAATTTGGTCTTGCACAAGTGGAATTAGTCTTGCATATAGCCGCAGCCTTATTAAAATTGTTGTTGAAGAATGTAATTGACTACTAAATGTAAGAATACCGTAAATGTAAATCCAACACAATTCAACAACCAACCGGAAAGAGTAACAAAACACAATTAAAAAAAAACAAATGAAAATTAACCAATTTTTACAAAATAATAAATATGCAAAAAATGTATTTGATTTATACAAATTGGATTATGGCCAATGACCGAAAAAAAAAACACCATCTCCCCAAATTCGTCTATGCATGGCAAAATTCGGAATTAGGTGTGTAAAACGGAGTTTTTATTGTTGGTGCCAAGGTTTTAAATACGAAATACAGTTTGTCGATTTTTTTTGAAATTTTCTAAATTTCCGAAAAAATTGGAATCGGATTTCATTTTCTAGATTCCAAAAAAATTTGAATTGGAATTGGAACTTATAAAAACACTTGCGAAAAAAATTGGAAATTTTCTGGAAAAGTGTTTTCCGATTTGATCGCCATCCCTATAGCGAATCAATAACCAAATATTCAATTTTTTTTAAAAAAATGTAATAATTAACCTTAATTGATTATTGAACATAGTTGATTAAATGTTGATTGGCTATTGAATATAGTCGATTAAAACTTAAAATAGTTGATTACTTGTCAAGTCTGAGTGATTTTCTCTCCCCACACCATCTTCTACTCTATTTGCTAAAAAAACCTTAGATCTACCCTCTTCATTGTCACTATATTGCCGCCACACCACACCATAACTATCCCCACTACCGACACCACAATAAACACCGTCTAATTTCCACCCACATGGAGATTGATCTCCTTCTCCAACGACAATAATAGATCGACTTTCACGACGAGAAGTGACTGTTTTTGCTTCGGGCAGCTCGCTGAGCGTCGCCATGATGTGATAGAAGATAGGGGGCGCCAACAATTTCTCCTCCGACCACCTGCTCCGACGAGGGAGATGAATTTGGATAGGAAAAGGAATAAGAGAAAAAAAAAAAAACCAGAGGAGAAGAGAGTAGAGGGACGAAACGGAAAATAAAAGAGAGAAAATAATAATGGGATTAGGGTTTGGGCGGTATATTGGGAAATTTAAATTTGTGAGGAATGCTCTACTAAGGAAAATAGATTTTCTCAAATTATTATTTGGAAGGGATCTAGCTCACATGATTTTTCCAAAAGAGGGGGTGCTAGTGCTACTAATCTTTTATTATAACAAAAAAAGGTTTTTTCACGAAACCCTAAAAATAGTTTTTCTAAAAATAAATATTGTTTTGTGACTTCACAATTTTTTTACGAATATTAACGACTTCACAATTTATTTTTGGCTATTAGGTAATTTTAACCGATCAAGTAGTTGTGTTCTCAACAATCCCGACTTCTTTTGCTCATGCATCAATTATCATGGCGTTTATTCTATTTGTTTTACTAATCATGTGATTTTTCAATTTCATAAACTTATTTTGTGTCACTTTCCTCCATTTTTTTATATTCTTTACATGTTACATTTCATGTTATATAATTTTTTTTTTTATAATTTTGCTTGATCTCGATGAAAACAGCTAGGTTCTGATTCATTGGAGGGACAATTTCATCAATTCACAAAGTATTTGGAAAAATAGAAACAATAAAAATGATAAATGAAAAAAAAAAAATTGGGCTGCGAACTTGATATCTATTTCTTCCTGTCGACACCATGGATCATAAATGCCTTATTTAGAGGGGCAAAGTGAACTTAGAGGGTGTTGCGAATAGGCTTATTATGCCCCCCGGACCCGCTCTTTCGCTTGCTGCAAGAAAAGGGTAGCCTATACGCAGTTACATCTAAAGTAGATGATGAGGTCTCCTCTCCTCTGTATGGAGAG